ATAAAAATAATATATATATATATATATATATGATTCATGGATCTTTTCATTCAACAAGCTTTCATTTGAGTGCATTCAAACAGAAAAACATCTGAAAAATCTTGCTTTAAGTCAGGTTCACACTTTACGATTTTGCCATCTGAGACAAATTTCGGGATCATACAATTTCTGTAGCACAAAATGTGGTTTTTGCATGAAGTGTATTCACCATCAGATGATTTCTTCGCTTCACAACGATTCTCAGCCTCCAATGAAGTTCTGGCGGTGAAATTTTGTTGCAGCTGTGCGGTGACCACTCGTATATGCTGTCAACAGCACCACTGGGACCAAAATCCTGGATGTGTATCGTACAGTCTGACTGCTAACATCACACAGTGTGCCATGACTCTTTTACCCAAGATCTCATTGGGATCATGTACAACAATTGTAGAGGACTAGAACAATCGTACTGTATGTGCCTGGCTTAAGCTTAAACTGTCAGACCTTCACTACAGACAGCTTCTTACGCCCCTGTATTCACCCCAATAAAATAGCCGAATGTGGTAAACCCCTAGGAAAATGTCATCCTCAAAAAAAAAAATGTTTCTTTCCGATCAGATGCCTTGAACAGATACTACATGAAAGATTGAGATCTGAGGTTATTTCCTGTAAAAATATTGCAAATGCCAAGAGTGTAGAGGCCGTAAAACCACTTAAAAATATACTCACAAAATACCACAGGGATAAAGGAAATGTATCAGTCTCCTGGTTTTCGTTTCAGTCTTTGAAGCAGGAAGTCTTGTTGTCTTTTCTCTGCAAGGAGCTCTTGAATTCTTTTATTATGCGTTTTCTCACGGAACGACACTCGCTTTCTGGGGACAAAGTGGTTGAGTGCGACTTCGTTTGGACTGGCAATCCTGTAGGACATGTCGATGGAGTTATTCTCCTTCTTGTCTTCTGACCGATGGAGACTGATTATGGCAGGAGGGTTTGTTGCAGTAACATTAGGCTGTAGCATTGTCACAAACGTTGTCCCGATGTTTTTATTCTCAAGTGTGCTTGTATATTGTGGAGTGGTTGGCCAAGGCTCTACAAACTCTGATGATTCAGATTCTGAGAAGTGTTCGGTTGAGATATCGCTCCAGGTTTCGTCCTCGTAGAAGGGGGTGCTGGTTTCCTCTTCGTAGTCGAGTGTGCTGGGATGCTTAGTGTGCACAGTGACAGAACCAATGGTGAAAGGGACTGTGGTTCCTGGTTTTAGGGTTATTGGGTTCACAGTGGATGTGTAGCCCCAAGATGTGGGCTCAGTGCTGATGTTTCTCGATCTGCTGAATGATGCCGTGATTGTTGTGCCAGGCTTCTGTGAAGTTCTGTACAGCTGTGTTGTGAGAACAGGAGCCGTTGCGGTGGGAGTTATGGGAGGGGCGACAATGGTGTACATCCAGGGTCTCGTCAGGTTGAATTCAGTGGTGTAGTTGCCCTCGTTGCAGGACTTGCAGCACATCTGCCTGTAGCCCGGATTGGAGCAGTACGTACTGAGAACCTCCATCCGACAGAACACAGACTTGTCTCCTTTACAGCGGGATCCTGAAAGATAAATTAACGGGATGCTCAGTGTGGAGTTAGTGATGTCAATACAATAATGGGAAATAATACAAATGAAATTAGAAAAAATAAGATAAGAAAATTTAAATATTAATAATGTAAAAAATATGAAAATGAAAGAAGCATGCATGCACCCTGGCAGATTGTTAGTGACTTTAATATAATAATAGGAAAAAAAAAAAAAATTAAATAAGAATATATATATATATATATATATACATACACACACACTGTCATGTATAAATTTAAAACTATATTAAAATAGAAAATAATTATTTTAAATCGTAATAATATTTAAAAATATTAGTTTTTTCTGTATTTTTGATGTATGTGTGTGTGTAAATATTATAATATGAAAATAATATAACAACAAGAGAACAACAATGAAATATTAAAATGAACAAAGCAGAACACTAAGAAAAGTGTAAAATGTGAAATGCAGTCTGAGCAAACCAGCAACATAAAATTAGAGCACAAATTCAGAGGATTTAAGTATTCAATATATTACTTGACCCTTTATTCCCATAAACACAGCCGACAAGAAACCACATTAGTTACATAGAGACTTCCTGCCAAATATAGAGCATGTACAAGACAACACATACAACTTTTCTCAGTACAATGTAAACTGCTTTGAATTGTCACACCATTCACAGTTTAGTAAACACTTTGGTAAAACATCTCAACACCATCAAATCCATTGAAAAACACAATTTTGAGGAATATAGTTCTAAAAAATGGAAATGGCACATCCTGTATTAGATTTAAACAATCACGTAATGTAACTGCACGTAATGTAAGGAAATGCTACGCTCTGGAATGAAAGAGCCGTGACAAATAAGACCTACAGGTGCCAGAATTCAGCAGAGATCTGACTACAGGCCAAACGCTGCCTTCAACACTCCATTTGATATCAGTTTAAAACAGTTTTAATTACTAATAAGTCCAGATGCAAGGTGCTTTGAATATGTAATTCCAGAACGGGCTAGAAGAACAGTCTAAACAAATGCTACCATTAGTGCTTTTATTTGTAAAGC